GTATTTAACAAATATCAAAGCAAGTAAACAAGTTGCACTATTACCTACCTTCTTTTTGTTTTTTAATGACAATATTACAGATAGAGAAACTCACGCTCAAATATTGTAGCCAGCTTACTGTTGAGAATATTTATGCCCAAAATAAAATTTTATATATATATATTTTATTTATATATTTATTTCAAAAAACAGAAAATATTAGTGCTTCTCTTACAGGTATTTTTATAGAATGTTTTGTTGTTTTCCGTAACGACTGTACCACATTCCGTGACACAACAAATCATGCAATTGAAGTGGGTGGCTGTGGAACGGTGTGTGAGTACGTTATTTTAACCGCAAAACTAACTGTTCATATCGAAGTATTTAGCAACGAAGTTTTGGAAATATTCGATGTAATCATTCACAAAGGATTTGCTAATCAACCGTGCTCCTACACTGTCTAGATCAATTTTAAGTTTATATTGAATGACACCAATGGTATAAATATTTGTTTTTGGCATTAAGAATTATTGCAGTAATTATAACAGATGCTTTGACAATAATCTGTTTAACAAATAAATTATCAGAGGATGATACAACATATGGAATATTATTGATCGTTCATTCAATATTTCTAACGATATTTTTAATAACTGGTATATTATGTCAACGTTTATTACACATCATAGCATTTCTTTTGAGCGTTAACTACTTATGTTGTCATACATTTGTTCAAACGTAGATCGGTAAAGGACCTATATAATATTCGTCTAGTAAGTGTCTAATTATTTCCAAATAATTTAAAAACTATTTTAACTGAAATTTTTTAGGTGCAACTTATATTCATAATATTTTTTAATGTGTGTTTCTTTCCATTAGCCATGTTTGTTAGATGAGATTATAGACGAAATGAATATGCTAAATGGTTTGTAGACAAAAAAATACTATTTACTGTCAATACAACTGTCTTTTTTTATTCTAGATTATTTGGTGCTTTTCAAGGTGCACGTAGACCATTACAAATTTGCTACAGTTTTGCGTGTGTTATTCGTATTAGTGCCATGTTAACTGTAAGTTTTATTTAAAAAAAAATGATATCTATTCTGGATATGAGAGGGATTAACGAAACTCTTAATACAATTTTACTAGCTATTGGGAAACCGTTAGTTCTTATTTGGCTTGGTATCGCTGTACTAATGATAGGTACGCAACTATATGTAAATTTATTTTTCATATGCGCGTATTTATGAGCACATAGTAATTAGTTACGATTTATTCATTTTCCTTTTTTTTCTACTTTGTCCACAAAATAGTATAAAGAAATATATCGGTCACAGCTGTTATCATTTTCTTTGTCAGCACTATCACATATATATAGTCTATAACTAATAATATTTTTGTTCCCTTTGTTCTGTTTTGTCTAACGAACACGTCACTGTCTTATTTATTCATTGTCGACCAGTGTCTATATTTTCATCTCTTGAAAGAGACCAGAAACGGTCACAAGGACACACAGCTTGTTTTAGTGGCATAAACCAGTGAAAAACAAATATTTTTTAGAAAATAATCAAACCTTGTTAGACCGATTTTTACCGATTTAGAAAAACTTTTTAATCGGCCGTTAACGGCCGATCCGATTTAGCTTTCCAGCCGGTCGATCCGATCCGATTGAAGCTTTTTCAAACGGTTCCAACTCTGCTACACTAGGCCTACTACTGTACTGAAAGCCAACCTTTTGTCTTGTATAGTTTACGAGATATAACTCTTGCATTTCGGCGTCGGTTGGTTTTTGGCGCCGTCTATTGAGAGAAAACGGATTTTTTCCAATATATTTAGTCTTCCAAGAGTAATATTGCATTTCCATTTTGTAGACCACATCTTTCTCTACAATAGCGCATCATTTGGTTCCAGACAGAGATAAAATTTCAATTAGAAAAAAGCTGATCTTTGCTCTGTTACTCACTTTGGAATTTATGTCCGGTGAGATTTCGAAGCCTAATGTCGGGCTAAAGAAAAAACCGGAAATGATTGTCAATAAGCAGAATCGATACGGCTTCGAGTGCGTAACAAATTGATAGGAAAATATAATTTGAAAATTACTTTCTTTGTACACAAAATTCTATTATATTGTTGGAAATCGAGGCTTCATCCACAAAATGTCCGGGGAGATTTTCAATTTTATTTTTTCGATATCTCGATAAATAGCACTGTGATCAAGGTCAAACTTTGATCATTTTTTGACCTCATGAGGTTGATATTTGGTAAAATATGAACTTGAAATATTGTATCATCGAGGAGAAATTTGAAAAATACGCGAAAATGTCCGGTGAGATTTCTACATGCTTCTTTTCAATGAAAATTGAAACGAAATTCAACTTATTATATACCGTTCGATTCGCCTGAGTGTGCTCTATCCACCTTTAAAAGAAACTTTGGGTTCTGTTTGCACAGGTAACTGGAACAGCTAAGAAAGGAAGCCTATCTGTACTACTATCGGCTCCAAAATACAGTGCAGGTTGCCGTTACTTTAATAACTCAATAACAGCGTAACATAGAACGTTGCGGTGTTCAGCAATCAAACGCAGACACCTGAGACTAGCTTTCCACAAGCAAAAGTGGTTGTTGAAAAACTTTTTGAAGTAGATGTTTTAGCGGGTCTTTGGAAAACCATTTGGATCTCTAAAAACGGACAGAATGTCAGCTAATACTCTATTTTATCCGCTCATTCTGATTCTGTACTTAAAATCAATAAAAAAAATATTCTCGTAGTTTCGAAGGTTTCCGTGAAATCTTTCTAAAAACCAAAGTATTTTCTGTTGGTTTTACCAACTTTTATTCAGCTTTACGGTATGCTTTAAATAAAATAGAGTATTTCCTGACATTCTGACATTGTTGTAGTTCAATGTCCGTTTTTAGAGATTTAACGTTATTCAACGTTCTATGTTACGCTGTTATTGAGTTATTAAAGTAACGGCAACCTGCACTGTATTTTGGAGCCGATAGTAGTACCGATAGGCTTCCTTTCTTAGCTGTTCCAGTTACCTGTGCAAATAGAACCCAAAGTTTTTTTTTAAAGGTGGATAGAGCACACAAAACAGAACAAAGGGAACAAAAATATTATTAGTTATAGACTATATATATGTGATAGTGCTGACAAAGAAAATGATAACAGCTGTGACCGATATATTTCTTTATACTATTTTGTGGACAAAGTAGAAAAAAAAGGAAAATGAATAAATCGTAACTAATTACTATGTGCTCATAAATACGCGCATATGGCTCATTACTCGTTGAATGCACAGCTCGATTTTTGTTGAAACCCTTTTTAAAATTATAGGCGTTATCAGGTGGAAGTACAAGTCTGTTTTGTTTATGCTATTGAAATTTATACGGAAAAAAGAAAATCATGTGAGTTTCTTGCTTAAGTTACTTTGTGCCATAACGGAGCCTCGAAATAATCGTTGCTACCATAATAACAGAAATGCCTTTCTCTTGTTGAAACGTGACTTGAAAAGAAGCAAAAAGCTAGAAAGATTTTCCAAAGATAAATCGGTGTAAAAACGGTAAAAACCGGCCGATTGAAAAGTTTAATCGCATCGGTTGCAACTCTGTAGTGCAGATAAACAAAACAAAAAAAAGATTTAAAATTGCTTCACAGCAAAAAAAGTTATTCACCTTTTACGTGTAGAAAATGAATGGTGCAATGGCTATGCCATTCACTCATATATACTCTGCACGTCTCATTGGACACAAAACGATCCGAAAGTGTAAGCACGGAGAAACAAAAATATTTCTATCAAATTTTCTTATTTTTATAACATGCAGAGATGCGCGATTACAAGTACAAAATGTAAAGTTGAAACACAGCTATTATTTATGAAGGAAAATAGATAAAGTGTAGGGAAAGGCCATTTTTTATGATTCTCTATCACGCTAACACTTAACTTGTTATTCACTTTAACACTGGTTTGATTTTTCTTTTGGACAAATGCTTTTTCAAACGGTACAATGGCTATGTCATTCATTCATATGTACTGTAGTACTTTGTGTATGTGTCAGGCAAGACTTGGAGGTTCAGGACCATCGTGTTATTTTCATTGACGAGGACTGTTTAAAAAAAAGTCGTTTAAGAAAAAAAGAAATAAATCATTCTGAGAAGTTCAAGCACTAAGAAGAAATATTGAGCGTTTTTTCTGTATTAAGAAAAAAGAAGCAACAATAATAACAAGAATAGAATGATTTTGTTGTCCTAAAATTGAGTCCACTAAGGGGACATAGCATTTTAGCAACAACAAACATTTTGACGTTCACATTCTTGTTCTATCTCATCATCATCAGTTTAACGTATCTATACATCGTCTACCCCCGTTTAAAATTATATCATTCTCAATTAGTACCAATAGATTTACCATACAGACCGAGACAAAATGATGACAAATAAAACTAGACTTAGTTAATTTATATATAATATATATGCAATATACAAGACTTCTTTCATGTAACTGAATGAGGGCATGATATTCTTGTTGCATTGATTGTACATATCCGGTGGCAGAAAAAGGTTGAGCAACTGAGTCAACAATCAGACGATGCGAATCCTGTTTTTGTTATATCTCTTCTGGTGTTGCCTCTAGTACACGTCACGCCGTGTCATGGCAGTCTATTCACCTTGTGACTCAGTTTCTTTTCCCGCCGTGTGTTGCTGCACTTCGTATGTGTCAACACACCCTCAAGATAAGCAGAAAAAAGTGATGTGTTTTACGAATGAAAAGACGGCAAAGACCAGAAACGGAAAATTGAGACAAGAGAGTTTCCCGCTCTTTAATTCTGACGCGTCTGTTGTCTGCACAGTAAACTTTTTCGTCAAACGGCAAAAAGCCCTACACACCGCTGGCTGCTTCCGTTCTCAAAATAAGCAAGAAACTCCGATATTTGTCGAAAAAAATGATAATTGACTACTATTCGATACCTTATTTTATAGAGAGCAAACTCAAAAAATCTAAATCAATTACGGCGTTCGATTAACCATTATCAACGAGTTGACTGATCTTCCAGCGAAGTGCATTCAATGAATTTTCAAGCACACGCATTTCAGGGTGACCAAGTGGATAGGTATGTCGACCGATTTCCACTGCCTTTTCAGCTTCTTTGAGTGCTTCTTTATGCCGTTCGAGTTTGTCTAAAGCTGCAGCAACGTTATTGTGAGCAGTTGCGATGCGAAAATGATTGGCTGCATGGGATTTTTGGGCAATGCGAAATGATTCTTTTGCGTGTTCAAGTGCTGTCGGATAATCGCTCATTGAATGACAAATGTCAAATAAGTGACCGTGTGTCTTGGCCAAATCAGGATGGGTGGGTGGAAGAATGTCGAGTTCAATTTTCAGGGCAGTCTTGACACTCTTACGTGCTTCATCGAAACGACCGAGTTGACGAAGAAGATCACCCATGTTCATGTAACGAGTCGCGATCTTTTGTTGATTGGGATAGGGAGCTTTTAGCTCGATAGCAAGAGCATGCCGGTACTGTTCCATTGCCAAGGCGCTATTCGGAAATCGCACTATTAAAAAAGCCAACGGATTTTGGCTCCTCGGCCGTCAAAACTCTTCAGTCTTCACAGGCGACACTCTTCTCTATGAAGCCGTGGATTCCGAGCGATCCCTAACTCGAATTTCCCCTGTTGTTCAAAAAGGCAAGCGAGATTGGCATAGGTCGGAGCCAATTGCGGATCATCCCTGGAAAGATAGGTCATTTCTATGTCGAGTGATTTTTGATAGTGTGCGAGGGATTGACTTTAATCGCCTTTCTTAGCATAGATTAGTCCAAGACAGTGTTCGATAAAGGCTACTTCGTTTTTTCTCTCCTCAGGTACTTGACGAAGGAGAACTTCGTAGCTTTCTTTGGCCTTAGTAGTCATTCGGAAATGGAGCCATCATCGAGAAAAAGCGAAGCGGGTGAAAATCAAAGGGAGGATTTGACGGTCGGACCGAGTCAGAATCAGTTGCTTTTATTAGCGCCATTTCCGAACGGCTTGTTATCCCATTCATGCACTGTCAGCATAAAGGATGCCAGACGGTGTAGGGCATTTGGACCTCGGATTTCGGATCTCATGAAATCGGTAAGCAAGCGCAACTGAGGATCATCATCGCTTGTCAATTCCAATCGAATATTCCAAATTCGATTATGCATGTGTTCAATATCCCGAATTCGAAAGACCGAATGCATTGAGAAAAGAATTTCATTTTCGGACGGAAAATAACTGATTCCGTTTAACGGGGCAAATGGAGTTGATCGAGTAGACGGATTGACGTGCATTTCAAAGAGAATTGCTACCATTCCCTCCTTGTCAAGTGAATGCCGAGCAAAGCTAAGAGAGATGTCACGACTGGTGCTTGTCGAGAGGACGTTATTGAAAGAGAGAAGACCGCCGACGTTCTTTTTCAGCTTCTTGAATTCGTCGTTGAACATTCTGCAAGACAGACATTTTCCAAAATAAAATAACTTAATTAACGGCAAGACTCACCCTTGGCCTCGATATAAAACAAGAGGCGTGTTGTTAGTTGAAGCGACAGAATGGAGTTGTTCCAGTTGTCGATGAAGATCTCGAATAAAGACGCCCATTGTACACAAGATATCGATGTTTTGCGTTCGAAGGGCTTTATTGAGCATTTTGTACAGGAAACATTCTCTCGTATACCACCATGCTGGGGAATGATTCTGGTAGTCATGGTCGAATTCATCAATAACATTTAATTCCCCACCATTTCCAGCATACTGTTCTCGACAAAGTTCAACTAATTGTCTTCGAGCCTGTTCGTCATAGTCAAATTCGAGTAAAATTTCTTTGAACAATTGAGAATACATGAAAGAAGGGTCGAGAGAATTCAGATCCCTGGGCGACACATCATTCGAACTTAGAATGCTCATCAGTGTAGTATTTGCCTCAGCTACTCGAATATCTTGTCTGAGATGTTCACAGAGAGCGGAGGCCTCCGGGAAGACGCCTTTGACCTTCGCATACATCGTGCTGTACTCTTCGTGCTCCGATGGCGTGTTTGAAGAGACGACGTAGATCGAATCGAGTTGAGGCAAGCCATGAAGTTCAGATAAAACTTTTTGAGCCAGTGAGTTCGAGACGACGAGAAAAATCTTCTCATTTTTGGCATCGCGGATATAATCAGCGCATCTCTCTGCATCACTGAATGTTTGTGTCGAACTGGCAACACGGCAAAGTTGAGTGGCGATCGAATTTCCAGTATCGTCAGCTTCGCCGATCCAAACGACAATAAAATCTTCTACATTTCGACGTCTCGGTAGATCAGAAGACATGCTCATTTGCTCTGCTATACGATACGTTGTTTAATATTCTTTCTACTCCTTTTCTCTGTTCCATGAGCAAGCACGCACGCTGTCGCTCTTGTTTCATACATGTAGCAACCACGACAACAGTTTCCTTGCTTCCTGCACAGCGCACACTTACGTGAAGGTTGTTTCAGCCAGTGACATGTGTCTGCACACAGAAAAATAATAGAGTTAAAGTAAAAAGGGCCAGATAAATGAATCACAATTCTATAGACAATCGCAAATCGACAGAGAGCCGCTCGTTCTGTTGCTCTCATGGCGCAACGGTACAAAAAAAGAGATTATACCGCAGAGAAAGAAAAAATGCAAGAGCGCAAATAAGATTGACATCTCCATTGCTACTGGGTGTTGGACTATCGATCTTCTCGATCTTTTGTTCACACCAGGGGCATCTCGAGACTTCAAAAGCAGGTCACCGCACAGGTAACAACATTTTTCGCCAGATTCTCTCGGTCAGAAGCAGGACGATCGCCACCGTTGCCATCACCATTCCAGAAAATGAACGACTGAGTTTTATCGAAGCGACGATCAGTATTTGTCTGTCTGCTAGCCGCTACGAACGGCGCCACTCAGGCGCGGATGCAGGAATATTTCTGAGTAGGGACGGTCAATTTTAAGGTGAAGTCGGACTTGAGTTATTCGGGTTCTTCTTTTCGCAAATCCGAACCTAACGGGTCTAAAATCTCAAAACCGCAGCGTAGAAAAAGCTCAAGGAATGGTTTGAGTAAAACACGCAGGACTCAATAGCGTATCCGAGTAAAACAAATAATTTATACGCGAAAAATCAAGAATGTTTTTTGATCAAAGTGATTTCCGAGATAAATGAAAAGAAAACTGAGTGGTGACACGACAGATAAGCCTCTGTCATTTAAGCTTCCTGATATATAAGTTTTAAGATATTTTTATTGTTTAGAATATGAAATTGTTTTCTTTCGACTATCAATAAATTCTAGTCAGCGTAGCATCTATATTATAATAACAATTCGAAGTTGATGCAGGACGGATAGCGCACTCGACTTCGCTGTGCTCCTCTTCTTTGATGTTTCGATTTCTTTAACTGTCTTTTTTTTCTATTCTACTCAGTATCATAATTGGCTTATCTTGTAATTTCATAGACATACAACCTGTGAAAGTAATTTATTCTCTGTGCAAATAAGGAATCGATAGGTAGAAAAGCTATCGACTCAATTTTATCCTTTTATATTATCAACTATTTCACAAGGTCAATAGTTTGTTCTTGTTTACTTTGTTGTTGTATTAACGGTAATATCGATCATGAACTGATTACTTTATTATTAAACTTTTTTGTTTTCCAGTAGACTATATAAAATAAACAAAAACATGATTAAAATCGCAGGACTTCTTTTCATCTTTTTGCGTTGTATTGGTTAATGGAGAAATAAAATAGAATACATTAAAAAGTCGTAAAGGGTGATCTCTGCTTGTAGAATAACAAGTCGATTCGATTCAAACCTTTTTCAAAATGAAAAGGTTTAAGTTGGAAC